CCCCCCCCCCCCCCCCCCCTCCTTCCTCCCGTGTCCTTCCGACCAGCGATGGGAGTGACGACAGCCCTACAGGACGCCGCAGCTCTCACCAATTGCATCGATAACGCGGAAACGCCGCTAACGGAGGCGTTGAAGGAATACGAAAACGCACGCCGAGTTCCATCGGCCACGCTACAGTTGATAAGCCGTGTTGCCATGGTGTTCATTGAAAATGTATTGTGCGGCTAAGAAACCGATTTCTTGTGAAGTATGAGCAACCTGGTCCTTCAGTCGTGTCGCTGGGTCACGACAGTTATAGCTCGATCCACCGAAACGTTTGTCCGTCTATTCCGAGAGATATATAGCTGGTTGCCCCGGATGTTCAGTTGCTCACCTCGTGAAAACCATTGTCCGGCATGCCACCTGCCGCGGTCTGCCTGTTTGGGGGCTTCTTCTGCTCCTTATTTTTTGTTGTCGTGTTTGTGTTGATGTTGAACGGTCGAGGTCCTTCTAGTCATCTTTGATCTTTTATAGGAGTAATGTATAGTACCTCTTTGAGGGTAGCTAGCCTGCCACCACGGAGGCGTCCGCGTCAGTGGTAGAGAGAGACAGAAAGGGTGCCCGCAGGTAGCAGGTACTAGGTTGGGTCGATTCAGTGTTTCAAGGGGAGTAGCATCATCAACAACAACTTCAAGTGCAGCAAGGGTTCACATGTTGCTTGGTTCGGAACAACCTGCTTTATCCATTGGCTCCTCTCTACTCTCTTCGCTGTTTCGTTTGCTTTGGTCCTGTTTCAGCTCGCCCAACCCGTCATGCACAGACTAGTGAGCGAAAACAGATGGGATTTACTCATTGAAGACCTCAAAACTACAATTGTTTTACCTTCTCTACGTGTAGTCCGAAGTGTGACGAGATGTGGCGCGGTTCAGTGTGGAGCTAGTCCGACCACTGTGTGCAGGTTGGAGCTGCTTCGAGATTCCTTTCTTATCCCTCCTTTCTATGTCGGTGTCGCGAAGAATTCCCTTGAAAACGGCGGTGCCGCTGTGAGCTAAAAGGCCCCAGGATCCGGAGACTACGGCGGTTTCTTGGTGGGGTAGCGAACATCGAGAAAGAAGCGCGATCTTGACAGGCCCCGGGTCGTCCAAGAAGCGGACGAGGTATTGTAGCAATCACACGGAAAAGACTGTCCAGAAATCTTGCCGAGCCATCAAAGTAGATCTTGTGCGTTGTACCAGAAGAAGGTTCCGACAGGCGGAGGAGGCGAAGCGATGGTCCCATGTACTGTGGAACAAAGAACGAGAGAGTAGCCCGAAGGCAATATCGCTCTCCTATAGCACCACGCGCCAAATCTCGGGTGGCCGCACCAATACGAATCGTGCGGTAGCGGCGATTCATTTGGCGATGTGTGGTTAGACGAACCCGTCCAAGACCGGGAAAACACAAGGCGCAGGAATCCAGAAAATTGCGGCTTATTGTCGATCGATTGAACAGCAGGCTATTTCCACGGAAAGACCATTATCATCCAGCACTGCTGCTGTTGTCGATTGTTATGGCCGACGTTGGACAATACTCACGTACATATTTGGTTTAGGGTTTAGGGTGTTGCTTGTGTTTTTGTTTTGGGTATATTTAATTTTTCAGGTTTGGGGACGCAATATGTGGCTTGGAGCTCTGCATTTCCATCTTGTGCTCCAAAGGAGGACGAAGAAGACCATTTCTAATCAACGTGTCTGACATGGAAGTACGATCGATGGTGCCACCTCGACTCCAGACAGGCTTATGGCCACTATTGCATATAACCTCTATATTGCGTATAACCTCTAGACGCTACGTCGTCTCCGGGAACACTGTAAGGAGGAGATTTGTTCGCACAAGAGTTCAACCCATACGGTGTATGAGGCCAGCAGGCAAAAATCGCGGCATGTCATCGGTGTCATTTGGGTTAGCGCAAGACTTCAGCGCACGACCGACACCCGATGTTTCGAGTCGTCGCCCGGCAGGTCCGACGGAAAGATCCAAGTAGAGCAACTTGTGGACGCCAAAGGTCATCTGAACACGGGCCCACCGCCAAAACTTGAAGCGAGCCATTTCAAAGCAAAGAGAACCTGGCTTTGAGAATGTTGCCATCTTACCTAAACGAAGACCTCAACGAACGGTGGGTTCGGAGTTGTATACCCCGACCCATCCACCAACGGTGCGAAAGAAGCTCGCGCAAAGGATCCGGAAGAGCCGAACCTCGCCGCGCGATCCGTGAAACGGACAATTTGTGCTGCTCACGCACCAAGTTGCAGGAATGACGTTGACGATCAGCAGCGAGAACGGAATACTAAAGTTGATCACGATTCAAGCTTTGGTGACCGCGAGCATAAAATGCTCAAGGGCATTCATTAAGAAAAGCGGCCAACAGTTCATGTGCACCTCGTGCGGCGAAAAAACAGAGGCAGCGCTAACCGAATTCATTGTATGCAAATAGACGCCCTCCACACCACCATTGCCATTGGGGTGGTAAGAGCTATTATTGTAGCCACTTTTGCGGACAGCAAGACGGGCGTACATAGCATGCGACAGTTTTTGCCTTTGGTGGTAAACTCTGTGGCCGTAACCGCGTATATATCACCACGGCGACTCAAACGAACGGTCTGTGAAGAGCAGAATGTACGTGTTCCCACGTGGCGTGACCAGGAGAGGGCCGAAGAAATCGACGCTCACGGACACACCGGGGCTAGACGGCAGCGGAAGGCACAAAATAGACCATCGAGCAGAGCTGACCAGACGATTAGTGGGAGAAGTGGGCTTGGCATCGCCATCAATGCCGTGTGTACTGACCATGGGTCTGTCGAAGAATGCAAGGCTGCCTGTGTAGGCGAGGAAGCTTGCGCCGGAGACGCAGAGCTCAGCGCTGCGGAAGGTAGAGCGGGGAAGTCCGGAGAGTCGTAGGCTGTTGCTGCCTGCCGAAGGCTGCAGAGTGGATGCTGTTCGTGGGTCTGCGAACATTGGTGATGTATTTTTGTTTGTTTGTTTTTCTCCCATCATTGGACTCTGTCGTCTGCCCCTCTGGCCCCTATCCTCCACTTCTACTAGCTAGACGACCCAACCGGGGTCACATAGGAGGGGGGGGTTGGACCCCCTCCTGCGGTTCATGCCTGAGGTATTTTTATCGCGAGAAGGGTACAGCAATCCCTTCCCTCGCGACTTACGAAGTCGATTATGGTTTACTAACAAACNTGTATGTGCTGGATGATTTGGTGGCACGCAGATTGGTAAGATTGCCGTTTGGTAGGGGGCACCGCGATGATTGACGGGGCCCCTCCTTGCTGTGGGACCCACTCATCGAGCACTCCCTCTTTCGTCCGTGTGAAGGACGGTCGCCTACCTCTCGTGAAGTTAATACATCACCAAAACAGTCTCACCCGATAAATATATGGCGTAGGCCGCAAACACTCTGTAGACTTTTTGCCCCTCGAGGGAAGCCACATTGGGATGAGCTCTGCTGGAGACGAAGAGCGCACTGCTGCGAGCGGAGANGGGGATGAGTTCTGCTGGAGACGAAGAGCGCACTGCTGCGAGCGGAGAACAGATCCGCC